TTTTGACTGGAAAGCAGATATCGTTCAGGTTTGAAAATATTGTTCGTGTTTCTAATAATTTTGCAGCGTCCCAGGCATATACAGTCTGTCCCAGATCCAATGAGACTGGTCTAAAAAAAATACAAAGCGTTTATTATTTTGATTTTTTATTCTTGTTTATTCAAAATAGTCTTCCTCTGATCTTCCTCAATAGCGCTGGAAACGTTCAACAAATTTTTCGAAATATTTTTTATACTCATCGGCTGAAATGGCCTTTAGTATGGCGGTCGAAGTCTTTTGGATGACCGAGATGGTATCGAAACGATTTCCTTTCATCGGCAATTTCAGTTTGGGAAATAGCCAGAAGTCGCACGGAGCCAAATCAAGTGAATACGGTGGATGATTGATAACAATGATGCCTTTTTTGGTCAAGAATTCACGTACCATGATGGCTTTGTGTGATGGTGCATTATCGTGCAACAAAAACCAATTGCCTGGCTCTCGATATTCCGGTCGAACTCGTCGAATTCTGGCCCACAATCGTTGTAGAACTCCCAGATAATATTCTGCGTTCACCGTCTGACCTTCTGGGACGAATTCACTGTGAACAATTCCCTTTGAATCGAAAAAAACGGTCAGCATTGTCTTGATTTTGCTCTTCTGAAAGCATAATTTTTTCTCTTTTGGCTCTTCTGGTGACTTCTATGCCGCCCTCTGACGTTTTGTTTTTGGCTCGTATTGAAAACACCACGTTTCATCACCAGTTACAATGGCTGACATGCTTGCCGGATTCCTTCGGGACATTTTTAACATGTCTTTGCAATGCTGAACTCTCCAATCTTTTTGGTCGTCTGTCAAAGTGTATGGCACGAAGCGCGCACAGACCTTCCGTTTGCCCAAATCTTTGGTCAAAATTCGATAGACTGTGCTTTTCGGTATCCCAGTTTCCTCTTCGATGAATCTCGCAGACACACAGCAATCGCTTCGAAGAATTTCTTTAACTTTCTCGATGTTTTCTTCATTGCGAGTGGTTTTTGGCGGCGGTGCTCGGTCATCGTCTGCAAGGTCCTCACGACCGTCACGGAATCGGCCAAACCAACGGAAAACCTGTGCACGGGACATGCATTCATCCCCGTACACATTTTTTAGCGTTTCGTACGTTTCTGCACCACTTTTACCCAATTTAAAACATAATTTAATATTCGCTCTTTGTTCCATGTTGGTTTTTCGACCGACGTACACAAAGTGACTTTACATAAAATGTCAAACCACAGTGAAATATCAACCGAATTCGCTCAAATTTTGAGGTTAAGTAGATGAAGGGTAGAACATTCACCTACCATCATTCACTCATAGATGCCGCTGCGCTAAGAACTTTGATGGAACCAGTTTCATCGTATCTGGGACAGACTGTGTATTTCAGCATATTTTATATATATATTATAATATATTATATATATTATATATATTATATATATATAATATATATTATAATATATTATATATATTATATATATTATATATATATATATATTGTTACGTCCCGTGGAATTTTATTGGATTCAATAGAATTTATTTGATAACTTGGATATGACTATGAGGAAAGCGCCCCTGTACGGAGAACAATACACGGTTTGCGAAACACATCGAACAACATAGAGGAAGACAAATATTGTTTATTAACTTGGATATCGAAAGGCTTACTGTGATCGGATGGCTGGAACGTCACTGTTTAGGCGTCCGACGGAACGGGAGAAGGAGCCCTCGTACGTGCCCGCGTTCCTCCCAGCTGAGATGACGGAACGTCGAACGCTCGCGATATCGCATTCCCGGCTTCCGAAGGTCGCGTCTGTCTTTTCTTGTACGAATTAATTAAGAAGATCGTGAAATTGGTTGAAGTCACAAATACACTTGGTTGCAACAATTGTAATGAAAAAAAACCAGAAAGAAAAAAAAGGAGATATACGAGAATATGAGAGACCGTCACGAGATGATAGAACTTGAAGATTCTCTAAGTACAATAGTTAAGGAGAGACTTGTGAGCACGCGTCTGAAACGTGTGACGGCCTCAGCGAGAGTGAAGAAGCGGGCGGTTCGCCGACGGGCCGAGGAGTCCTTCTTCTTTGTGTCGGAGCAAGACGCGAGTTACTCGATCTCCGGATGCAGCAACGATAAGAACCCCGCCAAAGTGTCGCCTAAACAGTTCGGTTATCTTAGAATGAAAACGTTTACAATTTTATAGTCAACCGCGGGTGGACAATAATGCGGCAATCGCGAATTTAGGTACGACGCTTTACAATGATAGGCCAAGGAAGCGTTCCTGGCGAATTCGGCGCAACAAGTTTAATAATTTTAACGGAGAGTGGCAAACGGGGGTAGTACAATTTTATAACGATAGGTTTTTACTTCTTTACACTACATTTCTAACGCTTTGATTTAATAACCGGATAATATATAAAGTTTAACGAGATGTCGGATGAAAGAAACAAGGTGGAGAATTACCACGCGATATGCCTTGTCTTCCATCCGAGATTCCTGAGAGCGAAGCTGGGCCATGCTGCTGACGCAAAACAGTTATGAGATTCGTAGAATCACAATACTTATATTGCAGAGTTATAAAGATAACGATTAGAAAAGTTGTTAATGGTTATAACACAACTTTCCTACACTTAGTGCTTATTTTTATTGTTAAGAAGCAAGAGATGGGGAAGCTGCATAGTCTGTCCGCTATGATAAAAATAATTTGGAATAATAGTAAGAAATAATAGCCAAGCCCTCGCGCAACCGGGCTGTTATTCTTGAGACTACGTAAGCAATGATAAAGCATACGCGCGCTGTGGAAAACGACGTGTCAAATTAACATAGAACAGAAGTGCCGAAAAGAAAGAAAACAGAAAAGAATAACACAATTCATACGTTGAGTCTGGCACATAAAATTTGTCATCCAAAATCGATATATCAAATTAACACACGCCGGTGTCGGAAATTTAACACAAGGTTTTCCATATACAAAGGAATAGTAAAAGGCATTAAAGCTAACGCATTAACTTAAAATAAAATGCGTCACAATTACAGGTCGCCGTTACGAATGTCAACATAATATTATTCTAGTCCATATCGAACGAGGGAGGGGAGAACCGGAAGTTTAGATTGCAAGATGTACCGCTCGATAAAGATAAAAAAAGAAATAAGAAAAAGGGGGGAAAAATAGGAGCTGAGACGTAACAATATATATATATACCAGGTATGTCGGTAATTACTTTCCGGTTTTTGTAACAGATGTCACTAGCCATAAATATACAATGTTATGACTTGATACATATGTCATTTTATTCTACTGACATTAACCTCAAAACTACACAAGTTACGTTCCGCCAAAATAATAGCGTTATAGATTAATAATTTTTTGAAAATGTCGAGTTTTGTGCCTGAAAACGTGCATTTGCGGCACGCATTACTTTTCTTGTTTAATCAAAAGAAAAAAGCCGCTGAAAGTCATCGTTTGCTGGTAGAAACTTACGGTGAGCATGCTCCAACCATAAGAACATGTGAAACGTGATTTCGACAATTCAAATGTGGTGATTTCAACGTTCAAGACAAAAAACATCTTGGTAGGCCGAAAACGTTTGAAGATATGGAATTGCAGGAGTTATTGGATGAAGACCCAACACAAACTCAAAAACAATTGGCAGAAAAGTTGAATGTGAGCCGAGTAGCAATTTGTGAACGATTACAAACGATGGGAAAGATCCAAAAAATGGGAAGATGGGTGCCACATGAATTGAATGACAGGCAATTGGAAAATCGAAAAATCGTCAGTGAAATGCTGCTTCAAAGGTATGAAAGGAAGTCATTTCTGCATCGAATAGTAACGGGTGATGAAAAATGGATTTATTTCGAAAATCCCAAGCGAAAAAATGGTTATCACCTGGCGAAGGCGGCCCATCGACTGCAAAGCCAGATCGCTTTGGTCGCAAGACCATGCTTTATGTCTGGTGGGACCAGGTTGATGTCGTATATTATGAACTGTTGAAACCTGGAGAAACAGTTAATACTGATCGCTACCAATAACAAATGATCAATTTGAACTGTGCATTGATCGAAAAACGTCCACAATACGCTCAAAGACATGATAAGGTGATTTTGCAGCATGACAACGCGCCGTCTCATACAGCAAAATCAGTCAAAGAAGTGTTCAAATCACTTGGATGGGAAGTTTTATCGCACCCGCCGTACTCTCCAGACCTGGCTCCATCCGACTACCACCTTTTCGCATCGATGGGGCACGCGCTTGCAGAGCAGTACTTCGCCGATTTCGAAGAAGTTAAAAAATGGCTCGATGAATGGTTTAGCTCAGAGGAGAAACAGTCTTTTGGAATGGCATCCATAAATTGCCTGAGAGATGGGCAAAATGTATAGAATCAAATGGCCAATATTTTGAATAAATATATTTTAACTATCCATTGTAAATAACGTGGTTTCTTTAGCGAAAAAACCGGAAAGGAATTACCGACACACCTGGTATATATAGGGTGTCCCATTTTAATCCGGCCAGCTGAATAAAATTCGAGGATATTTTCCAGAAAAAAATGTCAGACAAATGTTGCTCAGTTCTAAGGGGGACATTCGATGCCATCAACAATTTTGACCTCGGGTGAAGGGTTCAAGGTCATTCAAGGTCAACTTTTTTTCTTAAATGGGAACCCCTATTTTTCACATCGGCAATCGATTCTACGTAAAAAAAAATGAAACTTTTGTCTGAAGCATTTTTTTTATAACGCAAACTAATTTCACTTATTCAGCCTCCAAAATTGAAATTTTCAAACTTTATGAATTTTTTACTCGAGAATGGTGGGGTTTGGGGAGAAATTGCAGAAGACAAAAAGTTCTTGGAATGCTGCAAGGAATTCACTCGCATTTTCGCATAGTTGATCGCACTTTTTTCCACCAATGCACTTTTTTCCACCAATATTTGGAAAAAATTTTTTATCTCATCATGTCCAGTACCTTCGGCATTAGCATCACCCGATGTGCACCACGTAGAGGTCGCCAATGGGATTTTGCACATCATTGGCCCTGAAAAGGGCCGATTGATTGATTATTGAACTCGATCTATGACATCAAGTGCTCAATCTGGAGCCCATTCTGTGCAATGCATATTTACAACCTCTGGCGAAAACTGGCTTGAACGTTCCTCAATGATGTGCAAAATCCCATCGGCGACCTCTACGTGATGCACATCGGGTGATGCTAATGCCGAGGGTACTGGACATGATGAGATAAAAGATTTTTTCCAAACATTAGCGGAAAAAAGTGCACGATCAACTATGCGAAAATTCGAGTGAATTCCTTGCAGCATGCAAGAACTTTTTGTCTTCTGCAATTTCCCCCCAAACCCCACCATTTTCGAGTAAAAAATTCAAAAAGTTTGAAAATTTCAATTTTGGAGGCTGAATAAGTGAAATTAGTTTGCGTTATAAAAAAATGCTTCAGACAAGTTTCATTTTTTTTTACGTAAAATCGATTGCCGATGTGAAAAATAGGGGTTCCCATTTAAGAAAAAAAAGTTGACTTTGAATGACCTTGAACCCTTCACCTGAGGTCAAAATTGTTGATGGCATCGAATGTCCCCCTTAGAACTGAACAACATTTGTCTGACATTTTTTTCTGGAAAATATCCTCGAATTTTATTCAGCCGGCCGGATTAAAATGGGACACCCTGTATATATATATATATATATATATATATTATAATATATTATATATATTATATATATTATATATATTATATATATATATTTTATATATGTGTATTTTAAAATTGACCTCTATACCAACGTTCTCGTACCAACGGTTTACACATCCAGACGTTTCCCGTGCTGACGTTCGACTGTATCGACGTTCGAAAAATTTCATCATATGTAACGGTCGTAACTAACGTCACAAAAGGAACTAGTTTGGAGGAGGACTTTCCAGAACAGGTAGAGAGCGTTCAGCAAGAAAGTCTGTTCTATATACGAAATAAGACTGACGCGAAAAATTATATCATACTATTATTTAGACAGTATTCCTATGTAATCAGCGACTTAATATTTTTTCCAGATGTTTCCATGGCTATTAATATGTATAAGAGTTTAATAATAGATTATTTCTGTAATAGATAATTTCTGTAATAGACATTTCAGTTTTTTCCCACGCAAACATAGTTTATGCAAATATTTATTTGGGCAATGCACATTTATTATTTCTTTATGTTTTTATTCATTTTTAACTTTACAGGGTTAAAAAAACCGACATGCTAGAATCGAATTCGGGCTGGCAGCTCGACACTCCAGTGCCGCGCTTGCTTCGCCACGCCAGCTCGACGGTCATCATGCTTACGAACTGATGCACTGACGTTTTTTTTCGATGCCGTTTTTCTCGAAAACGGAGGCGCATTGGCCTCTATCCTTTTACCACGTTTTACTAGTAGTCAAGTACTATCCACGCATATAAATCTCGTTCCGATCCCTTTACCGTGTTACAAACCCTCCCCTTATAAGTATATATCTGGATTGGCGACACTATGTAGTTCGTGTTCGTAGAAATCTCCGACGATAGGTTTCCCGCGCGAGTCTGCGAGTAGGTAAGCAGGATTAGTTGTCTGCACTTTGACGATTTAAATTCTTTTGAATATTAGCTCGTAAAGACCGGGTGTTCCAATGTATCCTGTTTCGCCTATGATTATATTATCCTCTCTGTCCACATCAATACGTTTATCACCGAGCATCGCTCCATCGTTACTAAGACGTACGCCGTAAACATAATCTATAGTGTTATCTTTTCCACTACTTAGCACAGCTCCCATATATTTTTGACCCAACGGACCAAAATGATCACGTAAAGTTTGTTGTCCTTTGTACGTTCGCAACTGACGTCTAACGGATGTCATTACCGGTTTATCGGGGGTTTCGAAAACATTCTCATCATCATCATTATCATCAGTGAGTAGATTGTCGATCGGTGAAGGTTCATGTGACATTCCATGTAGTTCCTCATATTGTAGAGCTCCCGTCGATGTAGGAACTATCAAAGGATCGTTTAATAGTTTCCGTTTCGGTGTAGTCAATACGACTGGTGAAAGTTTTGCCTTTACGCTTTATCTTTTTTTCGGGCTTTAATATTACACTCTTTGTTTCTTCGCTTGTACTCATTGATAGTGGCTCAGTTTTAACATCAACGTTACTTTCCACATTAGCGTTGCTTCCCGCGATTTGCTTGAGAGGTTTAATAATAGGTTTAAAGTGTCTCTTCAATGCAGCATTTTCCACCATTCTACCGGTTTTCAAAGCGCGATATTTTTTACGGATCGATTCGCTCGTTTTCGTAATCTCTTTCGCTACCTTTTCACGATCCATGATCTTCATGTTACTATTCATCATTGATATGTTTGTCTTGTGGATGTTGACGATGTTACCACGTTGAGGTTACAATGACGATTGTGCATCTCACAGCACAGCAAAGTCGTTAAATCCTTTCCTGTATCGTCCGTCGGTCATTGAGCTGTCCTTATCAATCACTATGAAATCATATTTATCCTCCCAACATTTGCAACACAATGCACTGAAATCCTCATATGACATGTCAGTGTTCACATGATCGTTGTACACATGTTTCAAGTTGGTACCATCCTGTTTAAAGAAAATCAGAAAATTTGCATTGTCCCGTATAAGATGCTTGGGTATTTTTGCGTACGTCTGACAGAGATAGAAACAGTCAACGCTCGAATGACGACCCATTGCAAAGTATTCTCGTATCTTGTTTGTCACATGCAACGTCATCAAAGATAAAAATGGAATTTTTGGGCGCTTCGGTCGTTGGAATCACATCGCTGTTATTGGAGAATGTAAAGTATCCAATTTCATTTATCGATTTCAGCAGATTTTCTAAGTAGCGATATTTAGGATGTTGCAACGATTTCGAGTACACGTATAAGTACACGTATAAGTTCTCGAAACGTAGATCGTACGGACTTTCCAACAAGCTGATGAGAATATTTGTCTTGTCGCAATTTGAGGGACCGCATATATTGCCGCGTATGGTGTTCGGAAGCATGTTTCCCTGCGCGCCTCTTGCTCAATCATTGATTCCGTTCTATTGTCGAAATTTGTCACGTATATCGACGGTTGCTTCACGAACCGCATGTTTCCCCAGTGAGTCGCAAAATTGATTTCGTTAACGGATCGTTGCCATTTAATTTAAATGTGACGCTGATTTAACTATATATATAAGCGCGTCGATTTTGGAAGCATTCAGTTTAGAAAATGTTGCTTCTGTTGACAGATACTCATGATATTCGAGAGCTAACCTCCGAACAACTGAAATATATACCGAAGATTGTTCTGTTACGCGATTTTGCAAAGTATATTGACGATTTGCAGGATAGACTCCCGGAACATTTAAGAGTCGATCCAGAGGTTCAGCAGTATCGTCAGTGTTTGGAACATTGCAATCGTCCGTGGCAGCAAACGCATATCGACGGTCCAGCCGACGACCGCTGATCAGGAACTGTAGTGAATGTCGTCGACAAAAGTCAAGGTCGACAGTGGTCTATTGAATCGCGCGATAAATGCGCTTCCTATCGAACTACACATTCCCGGATATCAATTTTGTGGTCCTGGAACTCGCTTGGTAAAACGATTGGTCAGAGGTGACCAAGGCATTAATTCATTGGATGCAGCGTGTCGTGAGCACGATATAGCCTATTCGCGTAGCAACAATCTCACCGATCAGCACGCGGCGGATGAGATTCTCGCTATGAAAGCGCAGAAACGCATAACTTCGGAAGAATCAATTCTAGGTGAGAAAGCTGCTGCTGCAGTCGTTTGGGCTGCTATGAAAGCCAAAACGAAAATCGGCATGAGTATGGGCACGAAGAAAAAGAAGTTGTTCAAGAAAGAAATCCGATAACGAGCACTTCCAGTAGCAAAACGGGGTGGTATTTTACCAGTTCTACCATTACTGGGAGTTCTCGGTTCACTAGTCGGTGGAGCGGCGGGTGTCGCAAAAGCTGTGAGTGATGGCAAAGCCGTGCAACGCCAGCTGGAAAAATTAAATCGTTATCATCGCGCAATGGAAGGTCGAGCTATGAAAGTTCGCGGAATCTATATTGCTCCGTACAAGCGCGGGAAAGGCGCTGCAGAAAAAAAACGTCAAAGAGACGCCAAAATTACCCACGGTTGCAATGACTAATGTACAGTTGTAAAGACTAGCGAGGCGTATGCGTATATCTTTCTTTCGAGATGTTTTCATGCGTGACGTCTTACCGATAGGTGGAGTACGTCAAAACGAGAGTGGTATTGTAAATTTAGACGACACAGAGGGACCAGGTTGTGACGCCGCGACCTCTCCTCCCGGGCGCGCGTCGTCCTCGCTCTCTCGCGAGCGCTGCTCGCGAGCGCTCGCCGGTTTGCTGGCGTTGGGCGAGCTGGCTCGGACGCGCGCCCTCCACGCGTCGTTTTCGTTCGTTTCGTACGGTCGATCGGCCTGCCTCGTCGTCGGCGAATTCTCGGTCGTTCGTGCCGACGATGGCGACTGGCGGGAAGAGGAAGGTTCTACTTCAGGAAATTATTCGCGATCTTTTCCAGTGAATGGACGCCTGCCGGCTACCGTTTATTTTCTTTTGTACACTTATTCCTAAATCCGAATTGTACAAAGCATAGAAACTTAATTGTAGAAATTCTACTCGCCGGTGACGAAGGCGTCGCCGGACCGACAGAATCTGGACGATACACTTATCCTAGCGGTAATACGGACCGAATTGTAGCCGGTGACAGCACAGCAACTTAATTGTAGAAATTCTACTTGCCGGTGACGAAGGCGTCGTCGGATCGAGAGAATCAGGATGATACACTTATCTTAGCGGTAATACGGAGCGACTGGTAGCCGATGAGAGCACAGAACTTGATCGTCGAAATTTCTACTTGTCGGGAACGAAGATGTCGCCTTCTCGAGAAAATCGAACCGAATTGCGTGCCTGTCTCCTTGGTTTCATCCTGGTGTTCCTTCCTCTGTCGCTATTCTCGGGGATGCTGGTCGAGGATGCCTCTAGACTCTCTCGGTGATACTCGTCGAAGACGACTAGCCACAAAATCTCTCGATTTCGGCGAGAGCGCGGAGTTTATAACTAATCTCTCGTAATCGGGGCGGGGGGTTGACTCACCCCCGAGATTCCGCGTAATCGCGCGTGATTCGCGCCCCGATGATTCGGCGGACCGTCTGGGGTGAATCTTCCCGAGTGCCTACGGCCAGCTCGTCGGGCCGCTTCGATGGCTTGCCGCTGCCCGGATCGTCGGGCTAATCGAGGGGGGTCGCGGCGAGGTTCCTCAAGCGACGACGGCTGGACGGTCGCCGACCCGATAATAACGGAGGAGAAACCGTCACCAGATTCTCCTTTGTTACACTACCCCCTCCCCTTGTCGATAGTGAGAGGTTTCCTGCTCACGGATGGAATCTGGCGCTCCGCAAAGTTCCATCCCGTTGGAACCACAAGTTTCCAACGGCCGTCCGTTGTCGTCAGGCGGTAGCGACGCGAGATTACCACCGAAGAATAGGGTATTCTTACCGTCTCGCCGTTCTGCAGCACGATGGCCACTGGTGGAGGTGGTTCTGGCCCGAACACGGGTGGCAGAATCGGTGGAAGCGACGGCGTTACCTCCCTCGGTGGTTCTGTCTCTTCGGTCGCTGGTGGTGGCGGTAGCCCGGTGTTCGGTTCTGGCGTCCGCTGGAGTATCACGCGTACAGCCGGTGTGATGATCTCGCGGACTCGGGGGCCGGTTGGTGTCGTCTTTTCCTCCGCTGGTTGCGTGCGGACGGTGACGGCGGCAGGAGTCGGTGGTCGTTCTTCCGCTTGATCGGTCGGCCCCTCGGTGGTGGTTGTTATCAGTCCGCTCGGGGCCGGTCTGATCGGCTGCTTGACCGGACGACGGTAGGGTCCTCGCCCGGGGCATGGAGGCGGTGGTGCCATCAGACCTGCCCACTTCCGGCGGATCACGTGGTCCGACCGCTGTAGGCGGCCGCTGGTGTTCGCGGCCGGTTTCCTGGTGCCTCGGTCGGCGAGCCCCACGACCCCCGGTGGTTCCTGCTTTGTGGGCAGCGGTGGACCTTGCAGGTTCGGCGGTGATGTCGACGTTTTCTCCTCGATGGGCTCCGGCAGTTTTTCTCTTGCTATCGCTTCGGGGATTCGGCTCAGCCGATCCCAGACTTGTCTCGCATCCTCCTCGGTACTAGGATCTCGTCGGTACAGCTCGGTCTTGTAGTCGCCGAGTTCCATGTTGCTGAGATTTTGCCATATTCGGCTACCGCAGGTCCTTTTATGGTGTTATTCCCGTTGATGCGGTCTCGGAGATTTTGGGTGTTGTCGCGCGATTGGTCCCGGCTGTCACGTTCGGAAACAATGGTCTTCGTCGGTGCTATTGTTCGGCCTCGCGTGTCGAACGTAAATCTCGCACGTGTATCCGTCGGTGCCATTTCCCCTGCGTATCTTGTAAATCGACAATTGCCGGCGCGATTATTTTCAGAACGATCATCGGGCCCTTGTATTTCGGTGCGAGCTTAGCGTTGAAGGCCCTTGCCTTATCGGATTGCGGGTGTTCTCTCTTTCAGACGGTGTCACTCAGCTAGGGTCGCCATACTCTCCCCCTTAAATTGTAATGCGGTTCTTGCCGCTGGAAGGCTTGGGCCAAATGGATTCTCACGAGTTCGTTGACTTCTTTTAACATGCCCTCTGTTTCACGCGGGTCTACGATCGCCCTTCGGTTTTCTCGGTCCGCCGTATGCGGCCTTGCTAACTCTCGCCCGTGATTAAAATAAGCCGGACTGAAACCGGTGGAGGAGTGCTTGGCCGTATTATACGCGAAGCGCAATGCCGGTAAATGCTCATCCCAGCGGCGGTGTCGCTGATCCACATATTGGGAAATCATTGTTTTTATGACGCGATTTGTTCTACCGGATTGCATTGGGGCGTATACACGGGAGTCGTTCGGTGTCGTATCCCGTATACTTTCGTCATGGACTTGAACTCTCTTGACGTAAACTGTGTCCCGTTATCCGAGACAATTACCTCTGAACAGCCATGTCGGTAAATTACCTTATCGATAACGGTATCGACTATAGCTTGCGCGATAGCCTTCCTCAGGGGTTTTGTTTCGAGCCATTTAGAGAATCGGTCCTGCGCGAGTAGCCACACGTGCCCGCGGCGGGATCGCGGCAATGGCCCGATTAAGTCCAGTGATACGTATTCCCACGGCTCGTGGGTGGCGGTGGCGTGTAGGAAGCCCGCGGCTTTCTGCTGCGACGCTTTGTGCGCCATGCAAGAGTGGCACTGTCGGACATACCGTGCCGTGACTCTTGCCATCCCTGGCCAGTAATAATTCTCTGCTAGCCGCACAATGGTTTTCGCAACTCCTAGGTAGCCGGCGTCGGGTGCATCGTGGTGGCGCTCTAGCATCCTCCGGCGTTCGTACGTGGGCACGCACTTCTTCCACTGTTTGTCGGCCGGGACCTCGCGGAAATCCAGGCTGTGCAGGAAGTGACGGTATAGCGTTTCGTTTCGGATAGCATAATCGGGGTACTCTCGAGGGCGGGCGGCCACCTGCTGTTTCAAGTCGTCATACCAGGCACATCGCTCCGCGACAGTGGCTCCGCAGATCTCCGGTTCTCGTGACAAGGCGTCGGCGACGATGTTTTGAGCGCCCTTGCGGTACTCGATGTCGAACGAATATTTCTGCATTTTAAATTTCCACCTCCCCAGGCGGCCGGTGGCAGTCTCCAGACGTTGCAGCTATTTCAGGGACTGGTGGTCGGTTATGACCGTGAAGGTGTACCCCTCGAGGTCTAGGGGCATCCGGCGGATGCCCTAGACCACCGCGAGGCACTCCAGTTCGGTGGCGCTGTAATTTCTTTCGGCCGGGTTCAGCGTCCGACTGGCATAGGCGATCACTCGTTCGCCTTCCTCGAGCTGCTGCGTCAATACAGCCCCCAGCCCGCTCTGCTTGCATCTGTTTTTAGCATGAAGCGTTTGCCAAAATTGGGGCAAGCCAGCACGGGGGCGGTAGTGAGAGTCGTTCTGAGGCGCTGCAACGCTGCTTCTTCGTCGGCTCCCCCATCTCCATCGTACCTTCTTTTTGGTAAGCTCGATGAAAGGCGCGGCTACGGTGGAGAAGTTGGGTACGAATCGTCGATACCATGACGCCAATCCTAGAACTTGGCGCACTTGTTTGACGTTCTTTGGTGCCGGCCATGCCCTGATGGCATTCGTCTTTGCCGGATCGGTGCGAATGTCTTCTCGCGTAATGACGTGACTGAGATATCTCAGTTCATGCCGGCAAAAGTGACATTTCTCGGTGTTCAATCTTAACTTCGCTCCGCGCAACCGTCGGAATACTTCTTGGAGATGCTCTAAATGTTCCTCGAAGGTGGTACTAAAGACGATGATATCGTCCAAATAAACGAGGACGTGCGGTTCCAGTTCGGTACCCAGGACGGCGTCCACCAGTCTTTGGAAGGTGGCGGGTGCGGAGTGTAATCCGAATGGTAAGACGGTAAATTGCTTGAGGCCTTTTCCCGGTACGATGAAAGCGGTAATTTCCTTGCTTTCGTTTGTCAGCGGTACTTGCCAGCACCCATTCTTGAGATCCAGTGTCGACAGGTAGCGGGCGCCTCGCAATCGATCTAGAGTGGCCCCGATTTGCGGCAGGGGATATGCGTCCCGCTCGGTTACTTCATTGACATTCCTGAAGTCAATGCTAAATCTGTACACGCCGTCTTTCTTCCGGACGAGGACGACGGGTGAGCTCCAGACGCTGGCTGAGGGCTCGATGACCCCTTCCCTCTCCATCTTGTCCACCTCCGAGTTTATTACTTGCTGCATTGCTGGGTTGCGCGGCCGGTATCGCTGTTTAATGGGAACGGTCCTCGGTCGTACCCGTATTTCGTGTCACACGTGTGGCGTGGGCCCTGTGACCGCGCTGAACAGGGAGAGCTCGTGAACGAGGCTCCGTTTCCGGAGCCGCTCGTTCTCTTCCTCGGTCCGCGGCTCCAGCCCGTCCTCGATCACCCCGATGTTGGGTGTTCTTCCGTGGGGGTCCTCAGGGAGGGAAGCAGAGTAATTTGTAGCCGTGTCTACAGGTCGACGTCGAGGATCATTGGCGCGGTTAGAGAGGCCATGACTATAAACTTGTGGTAATATCGTTGCCCTCCTACTCGGAGGATGATCCATGTGTGGCCCTGGTTCGCGGTGGTGGCCCCGTCGGCCAGAATGACCTTCCCGGTTGGTTCTCGCGGTCGGTCTTCGGGAGCTAGTACTCGGCGGTCTATCAGGGAAGTCTCTGCTCCAGTGTCGATGAGGGCCCTTAACGGGGTTTTATACCCCACCTGGAAGTACGGACGGGGCCGGTAGTCTATTTGGGCGGCCATGCTGCCCCCGGCCGCAGCGGCGTTTCCCTCGGTCGGGTGACATTGCTTGGTCAGCACCCCCTCTTTATCAACGTGAATGTCATTCGTATAGAATGCAGCGTTGTCAGTGGTGCGTACAGTAACAGTATGCGTGTACATACGATACATGAATTCTCGCCTAAGGTGCCACCAGGATATATGATATCGGAAACACCGACACATGTCATTTACCTTCTAATCATTGCACGGAGCATTACAGATTTAACGGTGCGTGTAGTTGATCAAGAAGGACAATCGCTCGATTTTCGAGGATAAGAGATTACCGTTGGATTGCACGTACGACGGCGACGATAATAAACGTAATCTATGAAATGCTTGTGGTGAATCAAGTGGAATAGGTGAAACAAGCTGGAAATATAACTTTTATGAGACGCGCGATTAACAGTACAAACTCCCTCGTTCGAAAGAAACTCAGCGCGTTGAACGTTGAATTTTTTAAATCTCTGGGATTCATCGTACGAAGCGATTGAGAAAGATGATTGACATTATCGTATGTACGCGCACCCTGGTGGCCAGGATGGAGGGCTCGCCCTCCATCCTGGCCCCCTCCTAAAATGCAGGCCGAAATCCCATCGGCTGTCCAACGTTAGGCCGAGATATTTTATCGTCGGCCCGACGCGGATGCGGACGCCATCGACCAGGACCCAGGTCTCAGGCGGCGCCCCTCGACTGCCGTCGTGAAAGAACACGTCTTCAGTCTTATGGAGCGTCACCTTCAGACCCAGGTCCTCGATGGTTTTCACCACCGATGCCACAGCAGCCTCCGCGCAGTGGCGAGCCTTCCCTCAGCTCTTCCCACCGGCCGCCACTAACGTGTCGTCTGCATAGCAGACGACGTGGCAGCCCGGGGGGAGAGGGGTACGCAACACCGGTCGAATGCGATGTTCCATAGCAGGGGGCCGAGAACCGACCCCTGCGGAACACCGCGTTCCATAGCGCGCAAGCCTTGGACCCCGCCTTCTTTAGGGAAGGCGAGGTCTCTATCCTCGAAGTAGGCCGCCAAAATGCGCCGGAGATAGGCGGGCACCCCGTGGTATTCGAGGGCCCGTCCTATCTCCGGCCAGGGCAGGGTGTTGAAGGCATTTATGATGTCCAAAGACACCGCCAACAATACCCTGCCCTCCCCCTTCACGACCGTCGCGGTCAGGTCCCGGAGGTGCTGCACTGCGTCCAGCGTCGACCTCCCGGACTTGAACCCATACTGACGGTCGTGGAGATCCGGCCCCTCCGAGGACATGTGCTGGACGAGGCGGTCGGCATAATGCGTTCTAGCACCTTACCCGCCTCGTTCAGCAGGTAAATCGGCCTGTAGGCCGACGCACTTCCGGGTGTCTTGCCCTCCTTGGGGAGGAGGTCCAATTTGGCCTTCCTCCAAGCTGGGGGGAACCTCCCTCCTTGAGGCACCCGCTCAAAACCCCGCGTAAGGCCGCGGACAGGTTTTCGTCGCCGAAGGCGAGAGCCCAGGCTCGGCCAGCGATCCCATCGGGGCCGGGGGCTTTCCCTTTGGCCCCGAGTTTTCTCCTGGCCTTGACGAGCTCCTTTAGTCCCACAGCCAGGTCCTCCTCCTAGTCCCCCTCCCCCATTTCGGGGGCGGGGATCCTGGGGGGCCCCCTCCACCCTCGGAAATAGGGTGTGCAACCGCTCCTAGCGACTAGGAAGCGGGCAAAGTCGCGACGATCTGTCCGCTGCCCTCCGCCTATGCACCAAAATTTCCGCTAACGAATGTTGGGCGCCAGGCACGAGTAACGTGCCCACCAACACTAACTAAGCGGCGGCGAGTCGACGTGATCGCCTACAAACCCGACAGCTCCTGCACTTTTGAGTCGGAGTTGGGGTGGATCTCTTGTGGGGATTAGGAAGGGAATCCGGCGGGTAATTAAATTAATTGACATGCAAGATTGAGAACAACTAGTAATCCGAGTATATTCTCGGTAAGGTGATCAGCGATGACAAATTCTCCCATTCGTCCAGGCGACAGCGAAATTACATTCGAACCGGAAATGATCGACACAGCTACCATATACGGCGGTGGCTCGCGCCCCGCTTACAACATTCCGCAGGTGACTCTTGACGGAGAAGCGACAGCGATCCCGATAGGTCCGCTCGACCCGCGACCTGCGATCCCGATAGCGATAAACACCCGCTTTTAGAGAGAGAGGAACGCTCTGCTCCCCGCGTTCCGCGGAAAGACCGACAGACGGCTTCGGTAACCGATCTACAACACCAATTTTCACCCAAAGTCCGACAGCCGCTGCTAGTCTAGCTAGACAGCCGCCCTAGTCCCACCGCGCAAACGGTTCGCACGAACAAACGGAGTTCTTACAGAGTGATACTCTTACAAGTTTAGCCCGCTGGCGGCAGCCTCCTTCCGGTCAGTCGCTCCTCCGCTCGTCCGCTCAGCTCGCTCCTCTCCTCGCCTCCGGCTCTCTCTCTCTCTCTCTCTCTCTCTCTCGCTCCCTTTTCCGCCAAGACCCGCAACACTGCACCGGTCCCTTTTTCCTTTCGCACGGTACACCGTCTCCCGATAGCTGGCCGCCGCGACACCAATAAAGTGGTACTCCGATACGATAACCTCGACAGCTTAATTTCTTTTTTGTCAAACGCTCCGATCGCTTTTCGGATACGAGATCGCTCGCCATAAAAAATATATCCGCGATTATTCCTCGAAATTACGCAGCTCGCCTCGTGATTGCGGCCGAGCGCGACAGCCCGGGGACCCCCTCGGAGGCCCTCCGCCTCTTGTGACGGGCGACCTCGAAATCGCCACGTCACAGATGTCAAGGAGCCCCTCGAGGGCCTGGCTGTCCAACGACTCCGTCGGCGGGGGTGCCCAAGGGCGGGTCTTACCCATCACCCTTTTGTATGGGCGCCCCCACGGGTCGTCGTCCAGGGAGCTCTTCATCTGCTTCCAGGCTGTTCGCTTAACCTCGGCGATGGCGACTCGGAGGGCCTTCCTGGCATACAGGTAGTCCTCCTTGCTCTCATTCGCCCTCGTGACATCCCCGCCTCTTCGCCGGGTCCGGCATAAACACCGCCTAGCATAGACGGAGGAGTCACAGAGTTCCGCGATCTCCTCCGTCCACCAGTATGCCACCCGGCGACGGCGGGAGTGGGCTTGGGGCATCGCGGCGTCGCAAACCGACGCCACTATACCCACTAATTCCTCAGCCCCCTCCTGGGGGCTTAGGGCCCACTCACCTGGCTCCTTCTCGAAGTGCCAGGTGGCCACGAGGACGGCCGCCTTGAACCTATCCGCGTCTAGTCGACTGAGAGCCCATCTTCTGGGGAGGGGAAAGTCCCCCTCCCCGGGGCAGCGGGGGGCCCGCATCTGTGGAGGTCTCGGGAGGCGGAGGGCCCACACTATGTACCGATGGTCCGATAGTGTCTCGCCCTCCACCTCCACCATCCACTCCCGAAATAACCGGTCGGCTGAAGGCGTCGCCCAGGTCAAATCAATGACCGACTCCCTCTTCAGCCGCACACAGGTGCTGGCCGACCCCTTATTCATTAGCAAGAGGTCTAGCCCCGCTGCCCAGTCAATAAGAGCTTCGCCCCGAGGGTCCCTCTGCCGGGGACTACACCCCCACCCTTCCGAGTGGGCATTGAAGTCCCCGGCCACAACGACGGGTCGGGGATGGCACCTGCGCACCACCTCCCCGATCCCGTCTAGGATCCTGTTAATACGAGCGAGGCTCCCAGACCTTGCTTATTTCTTCAGTGGTGGAGGTAAACCCCCACCACCGTGATGAGCCCACAGTTGACCGCCACAAACGAAGACCTTTTCCTGAGCTCACAGGAAGGGGACCCCGCCGCGGGGTTTGCCATAATGGCCACCGAGCCGTCACTACTGCCAAACCAGCCCGGGCTGTTCGGCGGCACGTAGTATGGCTCGTTGGCCACCCCCAGCCCGGCGCCCAGCTCTAGGATCCTATTCGAAAACAGGTCCTGAGCTCGGGTGCCGGTGTCGAGGTTGGCCTGTAGGACCCGGAGGAGCGTGAAAGCTAGGCCTTCGTCGCCTCCTCCGGGCTACCTATTTCCGCCCCCCTCTTGGGAGACCATCGGCTAAGCCGCTTCGGTCTCCCCTGAGGGGGCGTTGGCCTCGGTATCGGTGGCCTCAGTCGCGGGTTCCTCGTACTGCACGGAAGCTTGGGGGTCCCTACCTTGACATTCCCCTCTCCTGGAGAGTATGGGGGGGCTATCTCTAATTGGGAAGTTGGAGGTCCCACCGACTCCTCTTCTAAGTGTGTTGGGGGTTTCTCCTTTCCAGAGTCAACCCACCTCACCTTCTACCTCCTGGTGATTCCGGGATCCTCGTCCGACTCCTTCGACTGGTCCCTCGTCTCCGTTCCCGGCCTCTTCTTCCTTCCGAGAGGCGTCGTTTCCATCTGCGTTTGGGAGGAGGAGGATGAGTCCCATCCGTGCCGTTCCTCCCCCCACTCCTGTGACATCACCACCGTCGAGGCCACCTCGTTGTCCTCCTGGTTCCTCGACAGTGGTCGTGCTGCCTCCAATCTTCCCTCTTCCGCAGAGTCCCTCGTGGGGGAGGAGTGTTAGGGCCGATACCCTCCACAGGATCCCTCGTCGGGGGGGTGTCGGGACCGACACCCTCTTCCTGTAACAACTGTTGGGGGGTCTCCGCGGGGGTTCGTGCATCCCCCGCTTCGACCCCTCCCTTTCCAGCCCGCTTCTCTCCTTCTTTCCCCTTCCCTCCTCTTCTTCTCTTCTTGGGAGAGGGCTTACAGGCCGGCCCTCCGATCTTATGACCGGAGGGCCTGCCCGCCTCAACGCAAACAGGGCACTTGGCCGCCGCCGTGCAGCCCTTGGCGCGGTGGCCGGGGCTACTGCAGCGGTAACAGAGACCGCTGCGGTCGACGGCGCTAGTGCACCGCTCGCGCACATGTCTCCGCTCTAGACAGCGGAAGCACAGCTGTGCGCGAGCGGGCAGCGCCGTCACCCCGGCACGGGTCCACCCCACCGGGACCCGCTCCGCGGCGGCAACCTTCGCGGCCGCCGCCAATGGACACCGCACCACTATTGCCCCCACACCCCGCTGGGAGACGCTCATTCCACCCGCGGATACCTCTGCGGGAGCGCATCCCCCAGCACGAACTATTGCGGCCGCTACCTCGTCGGCCCCGGTTGTCGGGTCCGGATAATCGCACCGCTGCGAATTTCTCCGGCCTCTGGACCCGAAAATCGGGGCCCTTTTCCGCTGCCAGCTTGCGGAGTTCTCCCGCAAGCCGGTCGGCGGAAGGTCCTGACTTGAGGCCAGGCACCTCTACCATCATGGCCCCACTCAGGGCCTTCCAGATCCTTAGAGGTCCTTCGATCCGGTCCCAGGTCCTTAGGTAGAATCCGGCGCCTGGCCTCAGCCATAAATTCGACCCCTCCCTTTCCAGCCCGCTTCTCTCCTTCTTTCCCCTTCTCTCGTCTCCTTCTCTTCTTGAGAGAGGGCTTACAGGCTGGCCCTCCGATCTTATGACCGGGTGGTAGCGGCCTTCCGGGCACTTGACTGTTACCGCTACCGATTCCGGCGGCTTCGATCTGCCTTGTCCCGCTGTCTGCGTCCCCCTCCCAAATCCTACCTTTGTGGGAGGATTTTGGGATCATCCCTTCGCCTCCCCTGGGTCTTCTTTTTCCCTCTCCTGGTCACCATTGCCCAGGTAACTTCCTCCCCGGCCTACGCCTGGTTGGCTTTCGGGATGAGGGCTCTCGGGATGTGTTAAGAAGCCCTTTTTCCGCAGGGTGGCGGGCCCACTCCTGCAGCCTCTTCGCCGAGACTCCCATCACCGTCTCCTGTCGGGCCTGGGTTCCTGGATTCCCAGCCTGGGGTCCTGGTGAAAGGCCCTTTGCCCTCTCCCGTTCCCTTTTCTTCCTCTTTCTCCTTTTCTCCTTCTCCCTTCTCTTCTTCCTCGCCAATTCTTCGCTCCTCAGTCCCGGTTCCCCTGGCCGTGAAGGAGCCTGGGCATGGATCATCTACGAGGCTGGCGTACTTCTCCTGGGGGCCGGCGTTGGTATCGAGGCCCCCACGGCCCCGGGCGCGTAGCTGCCTCTTCTCTCAACGTCGATGCGGGCAGCCACCACCCTAAGGTGATCCATCCCCGCACCGACGCCGCGAAAAGGGCCCGGTGCACCCAGAGTGGCATCAAGGGCCCCTTCTGCCCCCGCCGGCCTCCACGATGCGGGAGGGGCCTCCTCCGGGAGATTGTCGTTGTACGACGGCGTCTCCTCGGAGGACGCCCCTCTCCCTACCTTCCTTCCCTCCTCTCCCAAGAGGAGACGTGGAGAAGGTTTAGTCGTCCTCCTCTTCTTCCTCCTCTTTCTCTCTAACGTCCGGACATTCCTGAGCTCGTCTTCTGTTGACGTAGAGCCCCCCGTGGCGTCCGCATACGTCCTTCTCCTCCTGGAACTTAAACTGGAGGGGAAGGGGGGACTCCCGGAGGCTGAGGGCCGAGGGGGCAGCAGTCCTCAGAGCCTTCAACTGCTTAGCCTGCCGTCTCATCTCGCCCCCATCCTCCGATTCTCCCCCCTCAGCCCCGCCATTTCTCTTTTGAGCGCGGAGGACCAGTCGTCCTCCCCCTCTTGTACCGCCATCCTTGCGATCAGGGTGGCCATCGCCGCCTCGAAGGTGGCCACTGCGCAGTTGATGAGCCCTACGAACGTGCTCTTCAGGATCCGGGACCTCCGCGCTATCATCTTAACCGCGCCTAATGCGCGGCCCACCTCCAAGGCCAGCTCTGATGCCCTGGCCCATCTCAGGAGCTCGGCGGAGGCGGGGTCCCTATAGACCTCCCTTTCCAACCTGAGGAGCTCCCTCTCCTTTCTCTCCTCAGCCTCCTTCTCCTTTCTCTCCCTGATACCCACCCCCTTGAATGTGATGGCCGATCTGCCCCGTTTCTTGGGGGCTGGCATCAGGGAGGGAGTTTTTTCTGTTACTCTGCAACTGATCCGCCGCTACTGGTGGTGATATTCATCACCCTGGCCCGCTTCCTTCTTCCCTTGCTTCTGGAGGCTTCTATTTCCCCCTTTGTAGTGGTTGCTCCAGCAGCTGCGGCCGCCCGAGTAGCCATCAGGTGGAGGTCTTATTGGGCCTTACAACCCCCCTATTTCTCTCCTGGGTAGACGTCTGGGCTGCCATACTTCCCTCGCTGGTCGCCCTTGATTCTGTGGGTTGGACCACCCTCGACTCAAGGGCGACTGTGCACCTCCGTACGGGGATCCTTGAGCCCTGCGAAAGAATGACATCGGATCGGATGACCGGCTTTCCGCCGGTCCTTCGACCCGATGCCACAACCCCCCCTCTGGCTCCCTTGTTCCCCTCCCCCATTTCCGTGAGGATCCCCCGTTTCACGTTGGGGGCGGGCTCCCTCTTCGACGAGAGGGGGCCCGGCCGGTTGGCCTCTGGTACCGGAGTCCCCTGGCCAACTGGAACCCCAGACCCCAGGGACTTACACGTCCCACGTTAGGTGGTCGCCCTTGTCTCCCTATCCGACGGGCTCACCTTTCCAGTCCCGCGGTCAGGACGGAATTCCTGGCTGCTGTCGCCAGCCTCCGTTGAGGGGGATGGAAAACCCTCTTCAGATGACCCCTCGGAGACTAGTCCTCCGAGATCCACCAGCTCTCTCTCCCTGGGGGGTGGGGAGATGACGCCCGCCTGCTTATCTCTCTCCATTCTTCTTTCTCCTCTCTCTTCTTTCACCAAAAAGTCACTTGCCGAGGCAGGTGGTGAGTCCTGAGGCGGGTTGCTCCACCCGGGACTCTGAGCCTCTGAACCTCTGAGCCTCTGAGCCCGAAAGCTCGGAAGTTTGTTTTTGTCTTTTAATTGTTGAGATCATTTTTGGACCCACGAGTACGGCGGGAAGTGGGCGTCGACCCCGGGTAGAGCCCCCGTAGAGTCTTACCCGGGGTAAAGCTAGCATGTCCCTGGGGTTCGCCAGGTGCCCCAAATGAGGAACCACTAGCGACAGGTCACGCACCTGCCATTCATCCCCTAGGCGTGGCATGCCTCAATCGTAGGATTACGTGGTATTTTATAGAGGACCCGCCTCGCGGTCCGGCTAATTAAGGCAAGACCCCCGGCTCCAGAGACATGACCTAGGGTTACATAATAGGCTGGGGTCTGCCGGAGTTGTTTGAGTCCCCTGTACCAGAGTGCCGAAACACCCTGGTCCCTCGCATTTATGTCAACTTGTACGTCCTTACAAGTACGGGTTTGCAATCAGGGTTTTCCTTCCCCTAGAACGGTTGCCTTCACAAGGCTCCTTCACGAGTCCGTTCTGCCCGTGCTGTAAGGACTTTTGGGCCGCACCGAAGTGAGACCCTCCAGTCCCTGGTAAAACCTGAAGGTAGCTGCCCATCCAGGAGTATTATGGACGCTCTTAGCTCAGTCCCTCCACTCGGACCTCC